CTGCGCTAAAGCAACTGACTACGATAATTATGATATCATTTCTGAAGAAGGGTCTAGGCCCGAAACGTCAGCCTTCCTGCTCCTCTGATGCTGCTTGGCCTGCTGTGTTCATCCAGCTCTACACCTTGTTATCTCTGACTATGATAACAGGAAGCTACAGACTAACTGGCCCACACCTCCCAACGGGACGCTCACCAAACCCATGCCCACCGCCCCAGAGGCCCGTTCTCATCCCCCAGCACAACCCGGATACTTTACCCGATCGGACCGGTGCACAGCCCCCGCGACTGGTACCACCAAGCTCTTGAAAACACTGCGTCATGACGTGTCACGCACTCCAACCCGTTCTTTGATGGGCAGCGACACTAACCAATAGGTGCCCCGGTCTCCCAGGTCCGCCCTCGGACCATTGATCCAATCGGCGATCAGTCAGAAGGCGGCTCTCTGCGGGGGACTCAGACGAAGATGCTGAAACTTCGCCATCTGCTGGTGGGAAGCTGTCCGTGCTGCCCTGACGCCGAAGACAAAACAGGTGTTGCAGCAACATCATGCAGAGGGTAAAGAACAGAACGCAACAGGATGATGGCGTAAAAAGTCAAATATCTAAATTTGCTGACAACACAAAATTGAGCAGCATTTTAAACAGTGTTGATGCCAGCAGAAAATTACAACAGTATGTTGATATATTAGGTGAATGGGCAAAGCTGTGGCAGATGGATTTTAACATAAGCAAGTGTGAGGTTATTCATTTCGGCCGAAAAAGGATAGATCACAGTATGTTTTAGAAGGCCAAAGTTAAATACAGCGGACATCCAATGAGATTTGGGGGTTCAGGTGCATAGCTCTTTAAAATGCCACAATCTGGAGTAGAAAATAGTCAAGAAGGCTAATTGAATGCTGGCCTTCATATCTAAAGGGCTGGAATATAGATAGGATTGCTGACGTTATGCTGCAGTTATTCAAAACCTTAATTAGACCCCATTTACAGTACTGTAAGTAGATCTGGGCACCACACCTTAGGAAGAACGTTCTCGCCTTAGAGGGAGTTCAATGCAGGTTTACAAGAATGATACCTGGATTTCAGGGAACTAGTCCCATCTTCTGCATTTGTCCCATATTCCTCTAAACCTTTCCTAATCATGGACCCATCCAAATCATGCACTATATTCAATACTATCACTAATCTTGCTGTGAACAGCCTTATTACATACAGCATATGAACATTCCTTCCAAATTTGCTCAGTGTTAAGAAAGACTTTACAAAACAATTTGATCTTCAAATTACCAAACATTGACAACCCTATTATTAATGCAGATTTGAACAAATTTTGAAAAAGCAATTTTAAAAAACAGAATAACTGAGGAAATACACAAGTTAATCAACATTTAACCCATGCATGTACAAGAATACATAAGCAAAGGTTACAAATGAATAGTATTATGTTTATTCCTTGCTTGGCCTGCTGTGTTCATCCAGCTCTACACCTTGAAAGTTATCTCAGGTTCTCCAGCATCTGCAGTTCCTACTATCTCTGAGCCAATAAAATGTGTTCATTAAAATCACAACTACTTCAAAATGCTACTTAATAATTGGATATTTGCAAACTGAAAAACAGAGTTAATGTTTTGAGTCTGAAATGACTTCTTCAAAACCTGAAGTATTTGTCTTAATTACTTATTTACGGAAATAACCACTGTGGCAATTTAATCAGTTCAATTAACTATGTCCCCAATGACTCTGGAGGTGAATACGAATTCAAGTCTTCCATGTGGTGTCTCATGAGATAGTCGAATCCAGAGTGCAGGTTTTGCTTGCAGTTCTTTCTTTCTCTGTTGTTCTTCCATCTCATCATTAAAGCATTTGGACTAAAATCACAATGCAGCTTGATGGACAAATTGCTGTCCTTTTGAATGGCTGGTAGCAAACTCCTCCTGGTTATTAATTTCAATGATGCTGTGCAGTTTCTCCCTCTCCAATTTAACTTACATCCTCTGTTCAGGTCTTGCCCTAGGAACACTAGACAAAGTGTCTGCTGCTTCCCTAACACGTACTCAGTCTATGCATCAAACTGAATCAAACTCTGCCTTTCTTCTCAAATCAATGGCTTCCATTTAATCGCTCAACTTCAAGAGATCTGACAATGTTTTGTCTAAGGATATGGCAGCAATGCTGTCCTTAATCTTTACTTTGAACCTATCAAAATAACAATTTTCCACCATGCTTTGATAAGCATAGCAAAGCTTTCTCACAGAGGTCAGGACGCTTACTAAATTTTACCTGCTCAAAAATGGTATTGTACCAGAGATTGAAATAGGCATCCTTTGCTTAAATTAATTTGTCACTGGCAACAAGTTCCTCAACAATTCCTTGTCTGACCTGGGTATTTTCCACACAACCATCCATTATGAATAAAACTGTACTGCTCTGCACATTGTTTGGCTGCATGGTGAAACCAATATTTTGTAAATCTTCAGTTCCACCTCCACCACTCTATGGCATCACTTGATAGAGGCCTTTAAGCTACTTGATTCTTTTGGATGACGGCAATTAATTTTTCATTACGTTCATTCCCTTCTAACCTGCTATTTGTTCCCTTGTTGCAGCATACAATTTTGTTGTTTGTAACTACTTTTATCATGTTCTTAGCATCCAAATAGTTGTTTAGCAGTACAGAACATAAGGACTGTGCAGTGGCTCAGTGGTCAGCACTACTGCCTCACAGCACCAGGAACCTGGGTTTGATTCCAGCCTTGGCCGACTCTCTGTATGGAGTTTGCACATTCTCCCTGTGTCTGTGTGGGTTTCCTCCCACAGTCCAAAGATGTGCAAGTGAGGTGGATTGGCAATGCTAAATTGTCCATAGTGTCTAGGGTGGGAAATGCAGGGATAGGGTAAGAGGTGGGTCTGTGTGGGCTGAATGGCCTGCTTCCACACTGTACGGATTCTGTGACTGCTGAGAAAAGACACATTTTGTCACAGCTTTTTGATGATGGCTAAGAGTTAATAAGAGTTTAAAATGCTTACATTTTAAAACAAGAAGATTGACTCTGATTGGTCAAAGTATGGCCATCAGGAATGAATCCGAGAATGGCTGTCACCTATTTTGTTGAGTGCAAACAGGTGCTACGCGTGCATATGTTCTTCCTGTCTGAAAGGAACAAGACCCAGTGTATTAATACACGTAGCTTCCAGAACATGCAAAGTGTGCTAGACTGTGAGCCTGACTGACAATCCTAAATTTGCTGTCAGCATAACTCTTTGCAGACTCCATTAGCAATGTTGTCCAATTGCAAAATCACATCTAAATTTGGACAGAGTGACTTCTGCAAGCGTTGGCAGTTTGGATGTAGTCAGTATCTTGCTTATTACGAACTGCCAAAGGGATAAGCTGTTTGATATGATGCGCCAGTCTTTGGGTGATATGAACTGCATATTTGACATGAGACTGGACTGTCAGTTTTCATGTAACTCTTGTATTCTCTATTGGAATGCTTCTACCTAAAGTGTCCACTTGGCAACTGATCAGCACTTGCCTCTCACGCAGTGTAAATGTAGCTTCCTCCTTACTTATGAACTGTCACAATAATTACAAAATGCAGTTTTTTGGCAGTACTTTAGTTCCTGCTGTTATTGAGATGTTAAGTATCTACAGTCTGCTGGGATAGGGTGAGAAACATTAACTTTTATTTCAGAACATATAGCAGGAACGAGAAGTTCCGGTAATGGCCATACTGTTTGCATCCCAGAGTAGCACCAGATGATTCTGCTCGTAGCATTTTTTTTAGAAGGAGATATTAATGAATCACACATAGCATTAGTGATTCCACACAGTAGTTGAGACATAGCTGATTGGGGTAGTTTTACTTTTCATTTTCTAAGCAGTAAACTGGCAGATGGTACAGCCATACAGACATGGTGCATTTATCTGAGGAAAGATGTACTAGCATTGGAGGAGTTCAGAGAAGGTTTACTAGGTTGCTTTGGAAGGGATGGGTTTGAGGAAAGGTTGAGAAGGTTGGTTTGTATTCAGAAACATAGAAAATAGGCACAGGAGTAAACCAGAGATAACAAGGTGTAGAGCTGGATGAACACAGCAGGT